CTATATAGACAACTGTTTAGTTAAACAGGAGTTAGACACGACTTTAGAATACGGGCCATCGTGTTTACACTGAAGAAGAAAAAAAAGTCGACTTCAACCCTCGAGGCGGATCACTGTGACGTTTGACCTACATCAGCTTCAGCTGGGGGTCCAGTAACATACGCGTGGCCTATTTATACTTTTAAGGTTGCGCATAAAAGAAAGCTATGCGCGCATATCAGAAAGATTGAAGATCTATATGCAGATCATAAATGGGTGCTAACAGGAATAAAATAGTTCTAATAAACCGTACATATATCCAGTTTCATTTATGCCACGAAATAATGAAACATAATTGTATCAGGCAGTTCCAACTGCATGTCAAAAATAATGTCCTCTCCGAACTAAAAATTGTCCTCTCCGAATAATTTGTTGACGCCACATATCTCAAAAACCATCTATCCTTTTATTCTGGAAGTTAGTATGCAAAAAGCACCCTTACCATATATAGCTGTGCAATACAGAATATAGGGTCGAACTGCTCTCTTTTTTTTTTATTAGTAACTTCATGCTGTCAGTCGTGAGTCCATCATTTTGTGGTATGAAAAGATGCAAAACTGAATTTTACATGAATAAAACCATTCCGCACTTGAAAAAATGAGTTGTATTCTGACTCCATATCTTCAAGTTATCAAACTATGTCATTCACATTTACCTAAAGAAACAATAAATATTTTCTTTCTGCATAATGTCATCAGGTGACACTTTACCCTATGTTGTTCATTAAGGACAGGTTTAATGCTTAAAGAAAAAAAGTTTGACACTTGTAGCCCTGACATTTTACAGACTTTACCAGTAACTTATACAACACACACACACACACACACACACACAAATTCAGAAGAATCTAAGGAACTTTTTTTTTCACCCCAAGTGAGACAAAGTGTGTATGAAGGGGTGACCAAAGTTCGCGGACATTTTAGAGCATATTACAAAATGTGATATTCGAACTACGATTTCTCATATTCTACACAAATTTATTGATTTCAATTATAACCAAAGGGACGGCGAAGTTTTTAACTACAGATTAGTTCAACTAGAAAATTTTATCGTCGAAGGATTTCGGAGATATCGCGATCTAAAAATTCGATGTCCGATCGTTCGTGCGCGCTGCATCTAAAAAAGTCATAAAAACAACGAGACCTAACTTCACGCACGGGGGTTTACAGTTGATTTATCAAAAAATGTGATCCATCAAAAATAAGGTAATATCATAATTTGCAAGGCAAGATATCATACAATCAGTTAGTACCACTCTTTACTTACAATTTTGAGGAAATCTGCTCTCAAATTGAAGATTTTCAGACCCTTATCGGTAAGTTGATCATTTTTCGGAACGGACGCAAAATATTGCAAAATTTGCCGATCTTTTGTCAATATTTTCACAATTTCGTACCCAATTCCAAAGAAAATTTCACTTCTGGGTAATTTTATGTTCCTCTTTCCATTGGTGATATCAGATTTTCGTAATCTTACTGGTTTTTTGAGATAGCGAACTTAGGTCACGCGCGAACTTTGGTCACACCACCATACCCTGATTGTAAAACAACCCGTAAGAGAGGGAAAAGTAAGGCGAACAAGAGGAAGAAAGGGGGAGAAAGAGAGAGAGAGAACAAAATAATCAACCGAGGGTAATCAACTGTTAAACGAATTTATCATGAGTCCTTGAAAAATTAATTAACACTGCTCGTCAAGTATTATTGAAGAGCAGCAAAGGCGAACGCGATTGTCGCTACAATTCAGAAATCGTTGCTTCGATTGCTTTTCTCTCAAAATTAGCGTGAGATATCAAGCTACAAAGAACTGTGATCGACAACAAAAAGATATTGTCTTGAAAATAGTCAGACACATTGGAACTTGAATGCATAAAACATAATGGCAAATGAATAAGACTAGAATGAATAGGACACAAGTTAATTGTTACCATTTAAATCATCCATGCAGTACCAAATACCTAAGCAAAATTCGAGCCAGGTGCATATAATGGTAAGCTTAAAGACAATGATGCATGACAAATTGTCAATTGTCATTCCTTTAAAAGATAATCAGGATAATAAGGAGCAGAATGATACCTCTACTACTAGGCCTACTTTTACATGTATTATACTACACTATTGCCATTGTTGAGTATCATGAAATTGTTTCACACAATAAAAAATCCATATGTTTTATACGCACGCGGCTACGAGCCGTCACTTCGTGAAAACAAAATCAAAGCGTTCAATGTAATTTGTGTTTTCACGAATTTACGGCTGCGTTAAAAGTTCGAACAGAGGAATACAAAAGCAGCTATAGAAAGAGGAAAATGTACTCTATCTCGTAGTTCGTGGTATTGTATCTATTCATCAAATAAACATAACGTTTTTCCGTATTTAGTGTCCATTTCGGGAATTCCATCACGAAAGAAAAATCCCGTATGTTTTACGCGCGCGGCTACGAGCCGTTACTTCGTGAAAACAAAGTTTAATACAGCGCGTCCTTGAATTTTGTGTTTTCACGAAGTTTACAGCTCATTTCCCCCCAAAACATAAGAAATTATGGAAATAATTAAACATAGAACTAAACATTGAGATATGTTCTATCCCAGGATATAACATTTATTTGCCCTTGATACATTAAAGAGGTTGGGATTATAGTTTGACAGTTTGAAAGCGATTTATTAAAAACTAATTTTGTGTATTAAAATTGCGCGCTCATCCGTCACTTCGTGAAAATAGGGACGAGATGTGTTAGGTCAATGATCAGGTCTACATTTTAATTAGAAGGGGCAAGTTTCCGAAAAAGTCTTTTACATCTAATGATTTTACAGTTTTGCCGACCTCAATGGCATCGCTCTACCGTGTGGTGGGTTATGTATTTCATCGCCCTCATCTTTGCCCTGTTCCTTTCAGATGCCGTTTGTTATGTACCATGGTATGTTCATTGCACATGAGGTGTTATTGGCCTGACGTAGGTCTGCGTTTGCGACTGATTACCGAAAGTAACAATGCAATCGAAACGACGCTTTCATGACGCAGTTCTTAGTCAGCAAGTGATATATTTTTATATTCCATATATTATTTGTTGTTGTATTCATAAATCAGTTTTCTCTGTCACATCATCAGAGGGGCCTTAACTTAACGAACTTTGCTTCAACCAAGGCCTCCTCGTCTTTCTTTATTCTACATTGTACTGTTATGATTATACTATTTTGAAAATTTTGAAAATTTGAAAAGGTAAAACGATGTACATGTATTGTTACTGAGGATTATTGTGAAGGAGGAATACGAATGATCGATGTTAAAAGGCAAATGTTTGGTTTTAGGCTGAAGTGGCTTGGAATGTTTTTAGATAATACAACAGGAAATTGGAAAGATATGTGTAAACATTGGTTTGACTGTTTGGGAGGGCTGCATCTACTGCTAAATTGCGATTATACTGATTATACTTTAAATCTTTTAAAACTTAGAAATGTCCCACATTTTTACATAGAAATATTACACGCATGGTACCTCATACAAAAAAAGACATCAGCTGAATGTCACACGCAGAAACATGTCGACGAAAATATTTTATGGTATAATAAAGATATTGTTTTTGAAAAGAAAATGTTATTTTATGAAGACTGGTGTAAAAATGCTATTATATACTTAAATGATATCTTCAAAAATTGTACTTTTGTTTCAGTAAATGAATTATTTATCCGCCTTAAAACTAGAAGAAGTAAACAATTTTGGATTTTTGACTATACAAAGCTACAAAAATCAATTCCAAAAATTTGGGTAAATGAAAAGCGTAGGGTACCTTTGGGTTTCAAAGACCATAATTTCTCTTTCCCCCACTTTGTATTTGAAAAAATCAGTTAATCCTGTTAGTCTTTTGAGTAGTAAACAATGGTATAATATGATAAGTTTTGAACAAATTAAAATAAATAAATGTTGTTTGTATTGGGAAGTTGTCTTGCAGAAGGACGTTAAATGGTCCCCTGTTTTAATAGGAATTTGATTGGGATTAAAGATTTTGGTCTACGTGAATTTAATTTCAAGCTTTTATATGATATGCTACCAGTTCGTAAAAATCTGTTCAAGTGGGGTCTCTCATATGATGACCTTTGTTTAAAATGCAAGAAGACTGAAGATGTGCTTCATGCTTTCATTTCATGTAAGGCAAATGAAACCTTCTTTGAATATTTAAAGGACTTAGTTTTACGTGCTTTCAATCTTAAAATAGAGATAGATATTGTTTTATTACTCAAAATGAATTCGCAAACCGAAATCGATTTGATAATGACGATTGCTTTTTGGTCGATTAAAAAAATGATTATTTTTCGTAATAAGTATGGGTATGATAATAGAGATTTGAGTTTGATTTATTTATTTAAGAGAGAAATGACTAACAGAATAGAAATAAACGAACATTTGAAAGTACACAATATGAAATTTCCTGCGAATTTGCTTAGTTATATTTGAATAAATAATTTGTGTATTATTGATGTTCCATTGATTTGCTAAATTGTAAGCAAAATTATGTTATTGTTTGAATATTGAATAAACATCTCTAAGAGGCAAAGAGAAAAAATTATTTTGTTACATGTGATTTCAGGAAGACAAATTAAACTTGATACTTGGTACTTGATCTGATCTTGGTTCAAAGGGGCATCATGAAACACTCAAGCGACAAAATCCTACGCGCTGGAGGTTGCTGTAACTGTAGAAGGAAACTCTGCTTTTCTGTCTTGGGAGACAATGCTGGATTACAGCTCACTGCCTTTTACTCACAAGGAAAATGATGACTACCGCACACAGGCCTATTTATAAGACACATACCTCATTTCAATGTTAAATTCTTTTGAATTTCTTATGTGTGGTTTTACTTCCTAGCACCTGGAAATATGATTACCCTTTTCGACTTATCATTCATCGTCTTTAATAGAATTCAAACTATACTTCATGCTATTTGCATAATTTAGGAAATTGTGAACTATGGATCTCAAGACGATAAACATCACCGATCCATGCGAGGTACAGACAGTCTTTGATAATCTTCTGGATTGTCGAAACAGGGAGGATCTGGCAAAGCAATACGACAAAATAGCACCAGACTACGATATGGTAATGTATTTATTTTCTTGAAAAAAATGCAACCCTTTACATATGCACACACACACACACATACACACACTCATCCTTCTTGTTTCAATTATCCTAGTGTTCAAATACGCACCACTAAAATAACGATCAGGTCACTGAAAAGAAAAGCAGCAAATTATAAGATAATTGTCTTCTATTCTATTTATGTAATTTTATGGTTGATGAGTGATGATAGAGGGCTAGGACGTAGCTATTTATTGATGTATAGATATGAATTAATTGAAATGAATACGAATTACAAAATTATTCTGACCCCATTGAGGTCAGAACTCAGATATCTATATAGATGTTCCAAACTCATTTATTTCGGTAGTTCGAATGGTCAGGTTATATTGGCTCCGGATTGGTCACACCAAATGGATCACGTGACTAGGGATTTAGAAGAGAGACAATGGAAGTACTTCGAGGCATGATCGGCACTCTTGACGTTTGAACCAGACTTCAGAGTTGCATATAAACCTCATTGTATGGACTTTCTTTAACTGACTCTATCGAATTTTCTTCATATTCATAATTTCATAATAATAATAACAACAATAATAATAATAATAATAATAATAATAATAATAATAATAATAATAATAATAATAATAATAATAATAATAATAATAATAATAATAATAATATGTCTTGTTTACCCAGGGTAGCCTCATCAGTATTCATACTGTTCTCCCTGAGGGCCCTGCAATCATATTATTACCCCAGTCATCGGATTCAGGCTTACCCGCACACAATGTATGCACATTCTCCACTCCCTGGGAGCATTCCAGCCAGGCGTCATTTTTACATGCGCACACTTGCTAATCTAAGCACATTAGCTTTCGCATCTAAGGAATTTTAACGCTAACTTTTCATCTACGATAACCACAGATATTGCAAATTAAGTTAACAATAACTTCCAAGTTTAAGATAACACAGGAATCTGAAAAAAGGACATATAAATGCGTCTTGTCTCTGCTTCATGCAGTGGAGAAGAAAGCAGTGTGGCTTAAGGTCACGTTTGTTTTACTCATGTGTGACCTATCTCGTTAACAGGGGACACCCATTGTCCTCCAAAAACGTCCGTCTCCCTGAAAAGTCAAAATATGAAGTTTTTAGAGGCACAAGTTTAATGTACTTCAATCTGTTTAGGTAGCGGACGGAAACTATTTTGGACCTGCTGAAACAGCGGCTAAGCTTCAGGAAATCGAACCAAACAAAAATGCCTGTATTCTTGATGTCGGCTGTGGAACTGGTTTGGTTGGCAAAGCAGTAAGTATCCCAATACTCAATAATCTAGCCACTTATTATTTAGAATCTTTTGCTTGTAAACGTCCAGTTAAATATGTTTAACTCGTCATTCTACCTTAAATCCCTTATTCATCCCGAAACCCAAGACTGAATTTAAAAAACGATCCAAGCATCTATAAAAATCTACCGACCCATATTCGCACGGCAACTCCACTCCAAATGTTCAAAACCCAAATTAAATCACTCTCTCCTTCACTTTAATGCATGCACTGGTACCTAATGTTATATCATGACTTATTACAGTTTAACAGTTAGTTTTGTTTGTTTGTTTGTTTGTAGTTATGTAGTCTGTAGTAGTTTTATTTCTTACCTTTTACCCGTTTGGTTTTATGTCTGTTTCTTTATGGCATGTGTATTTGTATTTGTATTTTGTATTGTATCAATACTATCCTAAATGTTTAATATTTCAGGCCTTATGTTCATTTTGATCTAGTTTTAATTTCCTTTTCCTTCTCAATCTCTTATGGTATGTTGTTATAAACTGTCTTTGTTTTCTTTTACAATGTATTCTATTTGTCTGTAAATCTTTGTATGTACAGGGCTCTTTGGTAAAGCAGGCCTTTGGCACTGAAAAGACCACCCTGTTTTTAAATAAAACTGAATAAATAAATAAATAAGATATCATGACTCTCACCACTGCACAATTCATGTTTTCTCCACATCTCGTCGCAAACATGCACACACAAAAAGAATAAAATAACTTCAGCGATGTCTTCTGCAGATGTTTCTTTCACCCAAATTATTATTTATACATGTATTCATATTTTATCCTCGAGTTTTGTTATTCCCATAGGCGTCGCTTGAAGAGGGGTATGGGACGTTTAATTTGTTTCCCTTTAAATTCGTTTCAAGCAATTTTTGAATTTTCAATCAAGTTGGAAAATGGCAAAATAATCTTGATGATTTTTTTTCTCACTTTCTTTCTCTTTTGATCTGATCATTGAATATATTTCGCATCTATCGGCATATTTGACAATGTGACAACCTTCTTCATTGAAAACTTAATAATTAACACTTCTATTTTAATTAATTCCTTAATTATTACTAATTATTAATTAATAACTGCTAAATTTCTCTATCTACAGGTCGTTCAAATTTATAGCTCTAATATTACGTATTTTCTATTCTGTCTTTCAAAATAAGGTTTGGAATGTAGGCTACCTTAATCTGTACGGAATCGATATGTCCGAGATTTCGTTGAACATCGCGAGCGAGAAAGGAGTCTACTCCAAGTTGATTAACGCTACATTTGGACCCGAAACTCCTCTTAACTACAGAGACGGTAAATATCGAAATCACTTTATGTCGATATCTTATTTCTTGTACAACCTCTCAGAAATAAAGTACATTGTTTAAAGTTAGATACAAAATAGCCTGATATATCCCTGTTTTCCACCAACTTTAGGTAAATATTATGCCCAGCTCGAAATACCTTTTACGAAAGGAAAAATTCAACCTTGATAGTATACAAATCAGAAATGTAGGCTGTGAAAATTTAAATGAGATCGAACAGGAACTGTGAAGACATGCTGTAATTCATAATCACTAGATGTATGTGCTCTTCGAATCGTCTGAATCGGTAATGGTTCTGTGATGTAGTGGCGGACAACTTTGCCATTCGTTCCAACACAAACAATTACAAATATTTCAATTTTTAAAAAATGTATGACTTAGGAGGGTCTAATTTTAGAGGACCTATAATAATATACTATCCATAATATTTGTCAAGGAGTGTCATATTAGAGATAAGGCACTCTGGAGTAAAAAGAGATGAATGAAGAACAGAATTTTATTTTCACAGAATGGAGAGGTTTACCTTTGGCAGTGCATGAACCTAACTCTAGAGACTAATGCTACGGTCACAAAGGTTCATACGAACGATGGTTTCGTACGGAACTCCATGTTTTTTTTCGTTGTCTTCCCGAATTTCCATTGTCTGAAAATCATTCGTACGGCGCTTGCAGCAGTTCGTAATAGTATTTGTGACCGAGGCTTAAGCTGACCTGACCCATTAGTGCATAGCTATCGAGAATACGACCCCATGATAATTTGTTCGTCCCATCTTTCATTACCAGGATTTTTCGATGTCGCGTTATCTTCTGGATGTTTTCTACCAAACCATCTCGACCACACTCATCTACCTAAAATGATACGACTCGTTAAGAAAGGTCAGAATATACTTAAACCAAACATAAATCTCAATTTGACACACTCCACCAAGGTGTTGAATAGCTACCCGGTAACATGGGAACGTTAATGTGGTTGTACTTGTGAAATGGTTCCTGGCCGGACCGGGGTATGAACGAGGTAATAATAATTACAATTTAAAGGATTGGAAACGTAGTATCAAGCGTCTTACCAATATGACTATGATTGGTATTGTTATAGAATCCGAACATGATTTATTAAGCAAGGACACTTAATGTATTAAAATTACTCTAGATTTAATTTCTTTAAAATCTTGAGATCAAGTTCATATCTGCTATAAGGACCTCTTGACTATATCGACTCCCTAACGCTAACCCCAGACAAGTTCTTCCCTAGAAAGTTTTTCTATAGGTCAACCGGTCAATAACCAATGGACAGTTACACCATACAAGTTCCCTTTTAAAGGGACATTGTAACATTGTAAAGATGAGAGAAAATGGTTCTATAATGGTAGTGAATTGAATGCTAGATGTACAATTAAAGATAATCTGAAAGTACGAATGAAAGCAGACAATTATTAACGATAACAAATTTACTCTCAGGCAAAGTCCTAGCAAGTAATCATGTAGGGGCAATTGTCCCCGAGGTAAGTAGTTAAAATGTGTTGACATGACACGAGCCTATTACGTAACCCGTATATGATTTCTACGACCAATGCACAAATGTGTTTTAAGTTGATTGGGTTGATTTCAGATGAGTTTAGTTGATTTCTTTTGTTAAAAGTCGATTGTGTGAAATTATTAAAAACTTTATTGTGGAAAAAAATTATTACTTTTCATCTCCTGACTGGACCTCCCTTATGGAACAATCACAGTGTTACCACATAGTGAACCACACTGTGTACGATATAGTCAAACACAGTGTGTTACCACAGTATGGTAACACTGTGATTTTGGAACATGTGGTAACACTGTGGTGTACTATGTGGTGCGTATCACAGTGTGGTAACGCTGTGGTATCGACTGCACCACATAGTACACCACAGTGTTACCACATGTCCCAAAATCACATGTGGCCCACACTGTGGTATCAACCACATAGTACACAACAGCGTTACCACATGTCCCAAAATCACATGTGGCCCACACTGTGGTATCAGCCACATAGTACACCACAGCATTACCACATGTCCCAAAATCACATGTGGCCCACACTGTGGTACCAACCACATAGTACACCACAGCGTTACCACATGTCCCAAAATCACATGTGGCCCACACTGTGGTATCAACCACATAGTACACCACAGCGTTACCACATGTGGCCCACGATGTGGCATCTACCACATAGTCCACCACAGCGTTTAATACCACATGTCCCAAGATTACATGTTGCCCACACTGTGGTATAAACCACATAGTATACCACAGCATTACCACACTGTGGTACGCACCACATACCTGGTAAACTGTGGCATCAACACCAGATGATACAAGTTATTAGTACTTTACGCTATAAGTAGCAATTGTACTAATTAATTTGGCAAGTGGCAACAAATAACACAGCATCACCGTGACTGGTTCATCTACAATTTCCAATGTAAAGGCATTGGTAATAAGTAGGATTGTTTAAGTGTCCCAAACTTTCCATATACTTGTATTTTATTGAATATATTTTAGTTCATAGTTAGTATTTCCCTAATTCATGTTTAATTAAATGTAATTTACACAAAGTAGTAAAATGTCCTAATAATTGGCAATTTATATTTTCTAGTACCTTTGAAATGAATTGCATATAACTTAATCATCAGTAATTAAGAATTATGCTTTAAATTCAGATAAATTGTATAAAAACATAGATCTGCACGCACCCCATATTCATCATGCAAATTAACACATAGTGATTCATACCACATTGTGGTAAATATGTGGTACACTGTGTTAAATATGTACGACTATGCAGAAGACAACATGTGATCGCAGAGTTTGCACGTAGTTAAATACATACCACACTGTTGCAAATATGTGTCATTGTGTGTGAAATATGACCGATTATGTGGTAAATCAAACCCCACACTGTGATAAATATGTGTCAATCTGTGTTAAATATGTACGAATATGTGGTAAACCACATGATTTGAAACCAACACTGTGACTATACTGTGATCACAGAGTTTACACATAGTTCAGTACAAACCATACTGTGGTAAATATGTGTCACTCTGTGTTAAATATGTACGACTATGTGGTAAACCACATGATTTGAAGTCCACACTGTGAAAATACTTTGATCACAGAGTTTACACATAGTTCAGTACATACCACACTGTGGTAAATATGTGTCACTCTGTATCAAATATATACGACTATAAGGTAAACATCATGATTTGAAACCCACGCTGTGAAAATACTGTGACCAAAGAGTTTACACATAGTTCAGTACATACCACACTGTGGTAAATATGTGTCTCTCTGTGTTAGATATGTATGACTATGTGGTAAACCACATGATTTGAAGTCCACACCGTGAAAATACTGTGATCACAGAGTTAAAACATAGTTCAGTACATACCACACTGTGGTAAATATGTGTCACTCTGTGTTAAATATGTACGACTATGTGGTAAAACACATAATTTGAACACCACACTGTGAAAATACTGTGAACACAGAATTTACACATAGTTCAGTACATACCACATTGTGGTACATATGTATCACTCTGTGTTAAATATGTACGACTATGTGGACTATGTGGTAAACCACATGATTTAGACCATATACTATGACAATACTGTGAACACACAGTTTACACATAGTTCAGTAGATACCACACTGTGGTACATGTATGTCACTCTGTGTTAAATATGTACAGCTATGTGGAAAACCACATGATCTGAACCCCACACTGTGACAATACTCTGACCACAGAGTTAACACATAGTTCAATACATGTACCACTGTGGTAATATGTGGTTCTCTGTGTCACGTATGTCAGTTTATGTGGATATTATGTGGTAAACCACATGGACTGAAACTCCACACTGTGACAACAACGTGAACACATAATGTCCACACAGTTTACACATAGTTGACTATGTGAACATAGTGTGGCAACACTGTGATTGTTCCTATCACGTGTTTACATCTTTACAGAATGGTAGCAATAGTAAAATGGTAAGAATAGGTTGGCATTTGGGGTTATTTGAATATGTGGACGCGATGTTACTGTTGTTGTTGTTGTATTCGTCTTCGTTATTGATTTCGTATTTATGGCCCTTGTTTTTAAATTTTTGAAATATACGACTTAATGCCAACCAGAATAGTCTTAACATAAGGTATCATTATTTTTGTTGTTTTCCAGGTGGTTATCTGCTCATTATCACGAGAAAGGGTGTGTTCGAGAAGGAAGAATACGGTATGGTACTCAAGACTAATCTGCTACATCTGGCTGAAACAAAGATACTCCAAAAGATATTCCACAAGGACGTTTTCTACGGGAAAGATGTCAACGTAGCAGGCATAGCACTGTGTTACAAAGTTATCTAGAAAGAGATGCTGATGAATGAGGATTACCTCTGATTGTTAGTGTTAACAAGTTACTTATCTCAATATTTGTGCTTGATTGAAAATAAAAGAAGAGTCAACTCTACAAATATTGACTGTTTTGAGGGGCACGGTAAGAACTATTGCCCATGTTGAGTTTTACCCGTTTTCCGAAAAATAGGCAGTTAATATTTTTTTATATCCGCATCCCAACGTCAATTCTCAGAGACAAAAATTGTAATGAAATATGCCTGTCAAAGCGACTTTAAATGTAAACTATAGAGAAACTTAATCGTACTAACAAACCTTTGAAAAAACATGTTTCAAATCTCTCTGTGTTGGGAGCTCCAAAAGTTTGAGTTCACAATTTCACCTAAATTGTATAATGATGTGAAAGAGGATGTCATTAAACACGGACTTTTAAAAACAAATTTGTTTGAATACAAATGTTGATGAAAGGATACAAAATTGAGGTTTTCTGCGATCAACAGTTAACCCAAATATGGCATTCTGTCATTAATATTCGTCTTCAGACACATTTGTTTTTATAAAACCTTGCGAAAGTGTGTTAAATGACATACCCTCTCACATTATTGTCAAAATTTAAGTTAATTTTTGCCAAGAAATTATGGGTAAACTTTGGGCTCCCAACATTTTAGAGGGGCTTTAACTTAAACGGAAATTACCGTCTCGACTACGAAGCATTATCATGACATAGAGAGTAAAGAAAACGTTTCATTTGATATTAAAAAAGCATTGTTGTAGGCCAATTAATATCGTCTTGCAAACAATAAAGAGACCGTACTTCGCCATATTTATGACATCATCTGCTCCCAAAGGAATTTGCCCTTTTGTCGAAATTTCCATTAAAAACTTCCGGGTTGTGACGTATCACAAGGATAAAAATGTCAATGATAATGACAATGACAATGACAATTTATTCTCATGTCACCCACATTGGGGTATTGGAGAAGTTTACAATCAGTTTGAATTTGTCAATTTAACACTGTAAAATATACAGTACAAATATAATTAATGTTAATCCATACAAAATAACACTATCGACAATAGTGAGAAAAATTATGATGATAATGATGATATCAATATTGATGATGATAATAATAATAATAATAAAAAACAAAACGATAATAAATGACGAAATTAATGGAAGCAATTGAAAAAGAAATTTACTGGCACCAGTAAATTAATATCTCTATTAATGAATTACTGAAAATATTCTTGATATCAATTTAATAAATTGATATAAGACAAAAAAGAGAAACATAAAGTTAATATCGAACTCATAACATGTTTTTGCACATACTTACATTAATGAAAACGAAGCATTATTTTTCGACAGAATTTTACTTAGTTTAAACGTGTTTGTACATTATTGGAGTTAAAAAAGTGATCCATTTTCAGTGTATTTGGTCTTTCAATAAAATATTTATCGATGAACAATTTTCTGTCTGAACGAAAGGTAGGGCATACAAACAAGTAATGAAACTCATCCCCAAGCGATTGCAAATCGCACAGCGTACATACCCTTATGGAACAATCACAGAGTTACCACATAGTGAACCACACTGTGTACCATATAGTCAAACACAGTGTGTTACCACAGTGTGGTAACACTGTGATTTTGGGACATGTGGTAACAATGTGGTGTACTATGTGGTGCGTACCACAGTGTGGTAACACTGTGGTATCGACATAGTTGACTATGTGAA